TGCTGACAGTACCTGGCCTCGGAAAGCGGCCGCCTTGAGGATATATAAGATGCTGTCCCCCTCCTGGAGGGTTGAGCGATTTCTCCCTTTTCCATCTTTACTTCCACAACTTTCTGCTCGTCCTTTACTTACCCGCCTCGGCCAGGATGGATCAACAGCCAGACCAGCCCCCAACCCGCTCGCTTCCGCCCGAGATATGGCTGGAGGTCTGTGACCACCTCTCGGAGCGCCAAGTGAGTCACCTCAGCCGAACGAATCGCGGGTTATCACAGCTACTTCAGCCTTATCTCCTACATCGGAATGTGCAGCGATCTGGAACTTCTTGTCTACCTTGCCTTGCTAAACGAGGGGACATTGAACGGATCCAACTCTTGCAAGGCATTGAGGGTTTTAGGACGGATGCCCGAGACTGCGATGGTGATACGGCACTTGTCCGTGCGATTTGGGGAGGCTATGAGGACATTTCCCTTACACTGATTGAGCATGGCGGTCCTCAGATCACTATGCGAAACGGGCGCCACACGTGGAGGCCTCTCCCTCTGGCAGTCTTCCTCGGCCAGACAGATGTGGTGCGCAAGCTGCTCGAATGCGACGAAATTGAACCCAACGGCATTCAACGTGCAGACTACGGTCGGCCCCTTCTTCTAGCCTGCAAATTTGGAAACGACGAAATCCTTCGGCTACTACTCACTGTTGGAGCTATTGACCTGACCGTCAGAGATGACCTCGACCAAACAGCATTGCACGTCGCTGCTCGACACGGATCGGCGTCGGCAGTGGACCTGCTTCTTGATGATGGGCGAATTTCTCCCGATGTACTGGATGCCAGTGGCGAAACGGCACTCCAGGTTGCTTTTACGAATGGCAAATTTGACGTCATTGAAGTTATGTACGCCCACGGAATACGCGCCCCACGCCCCTATCTTGAACAGGCAAGCAACCAACTTGAAGCGAGATTCACCTCGAAGTTTCTTAGTCACGACACTAAGTCAAATTTGCTCCTTCCTATCTGCTGTTGCGCTGCGGCACGTGGGCATGTAGGACTCGTTAGTGAGCTCCTTCCTCTTGCAAATCGTCAGCATCGACAATCATCTTTAGTTCTCGCAGCATACTATGGACATGTTGAGACTGTCGAGCTGCTACTTAAGCACCAAAACCCGAATTTCACGGACAAGAGGAAGCGTACACCTGAATGGTATGCTCGCAACAGGGGTCATTCTACTATTGTGCAACTTTTTAAGACTTGGAATGTAGCTCATGGTATCAAACGGAAGCGAGACGATAAGGATCCTGGAGAGAGTAAGAGAAACCCTATTATTATTGACTAGGCTAGAATGGATACGCGCCGTCAGGTGGATATACTTCTAGATTCTGAACTACTTGGAAAACGTCTGGGTCATCTGCTGTGAGGGCCCGGTCTGCCCCATAGTTGAGAAGTAGACAGGAAACAGCGATATTCATTGCTCGGGTCGAGTAATGTAAGGCTGTCTTCCCCTCTGCGTTGACTATGTTGACATTGGCTCCGTTCACTAGGAGTGTTCGGACAAACTTCATGTGCCCCCTCATGGCAGCTCTGTGTATTGGCGCGTCGCCGAAGCCACTGATGGGATCCATAGAAGCCCCTGACGCCCACAGAATGGGAATCATAGAGGCATGCGCTTCTTCGGCCGCTAAATGGAGAGGAGTATCCCCGGAATTACAAAGGGCATCATTGTGAGCACCTGCGGCAAGCAGTCGCGTCGCTATGACCGGTTGCCCGTGATAGGCGGCAACATGCAGAGCCGTCCAGCCTTTCTGGCACTGCGTGCCGATGGATACACCATGGGCAAGAAGTGTGTCTACCGCGAAAAGTCTGCCGGACTTCACAGCAAACATAAGGACGCTTTCGCCAGCATCTGTTTCGCTATCGAGTGGCGAACCATACGCATAAAGAGACTGGATCATCTCATTATGACCTTGTAATGCC